GTGTGTAAATGGGGAGAGGGTGGGTGAGAGGGTTAATCCCCCTCCGATAGGGGAACATACTGCCCGGTGTGTGTAAATGGGGAGGGGGTGGGTGAGAGGGTTAATCCCCCTCCGATAGGGGAACATACTGCCCGGTGTGTGTAAATGGGGAGAGGGTGGGTGAGAGGGTTAATCCCCCTCCGATAGGGGAACAGACTGCCCGGTGTGTGTAAATGGGGAGGGGGTGGGTGAGGGGGTTAATCCCCCTCCGATAGGGGAACATACTGCCCTGTGTGTGTAAATGGGGAGGGGGTGGGTGAGGGGGTTAAGCCCCCTCCAATAGGGGAACAGACTTTATTTTTACTTACAAAGTGCAAACTTATTTTCTGCCTACATTCCAAGACTCTGTGACCTTGGAAATGTTGCTGACATATTTTGGTTCAGATTTCTGGCCAGACAGGTTTCACAACTTCGTCAAAATTATCGTGCGAGGTGTGACAGGACAGAAAGTGGGTGCAACAAAAAAAGATAAAGACAGAGACGGAGAGGCAGACAGATAGACACCGAGAGAGAGCACGACTGTGTGTGTGTGTGCGTGTGTGTGTGTGTGTGAGAGAGAGAGAGAGAGAGATAGAAATGGTATGAGAGAGAGACAGACCTACAGAAAGAAGAACATTGAGAGAGAGAGAAATGATAAGAGACAGAGAGAGAGAAAAACCGAGAGAGAAAAAGCAGAGAGAAACAGAGAACGAGAGAGAAACTGTAAGGAGCCAGAGACACAGAGAAAAGTGGTAAGACAGAGAGAAACAGTGAGAGGGAAAGAAAGAGGAACATTGAGGGAGAAATGGTGAGACAGAGAGAGAGAGTAAGAGAGACAGAGAGAGAGAAAAGCAGTGAGAGAGACAGAGAAAGTAACGATAAGAGAAGGAGAAACAGAAATAATGGGATTGGGACAGACCAGGAGAAAGTGACAGGCAGAGAGATAGGAAAATGAACTGTAATGAGAAGTAGAGAGAACTAGAGAGAGAGAGAGAGCGAGTGGCAGAGAATGTGAGGGGCACAAAGTGAGCAATACAGACAGAAAGAGATGGATCAAGAAAGACACAGTGACAGAAAGTCAAAGCAATAAATAGAAACAGAGACAAAAATTGCTGGGAAAACTCAGCAGGTCTGGCACCTTCTGTGGAGAGAGAGCAGAGTTAACGTTTCAGGTCCAGTGGCTCTTCCTCAGAACTCACCAGACCGGTAACTCTATTTTCTCTTCACAGATGCTGCCAGACCTGCTGAGTTTCTCCAGCAATTTCTGTTTTAGTTTCTGATTTCCAGCATCTACAGTTCTTTCGGGTTTGTCTTATTCTGTAAAGTGACAGAAATGGTTGGGTGGGGAGTGGGGTGAAGGAGGGAGAGAGAGCAGGAGAGGGTCAGAGAATTTGACTGGGATAGAAAACACAGGCAGAAACAGGGGAAGAGGAAATGAAAAGAAGGTGGAAAGGGTGAGAGAGAGGGAGAGCCAGAGGGGACATAAGCAAGATGGAGAGAATGAGAAAGAGAGAAACAGAATAAGACAGATAAATGACTGGGGATGAGAACAAGCTGATTCAGCAAAGTCTGAAAGTCGATTGGATGGGATTTCCTGCTATAAACAGTGTTTTCTGTCGACTCTTTGTTACTCTGCGAGTATCAGCCAGACTAAGGTGAGGACCCAGCCTAACCACAACGGGTGAATTCAAAAAACATCAATACCACAAAGCAGGCACAAATCCACTTCAAACTGCACACAGACAGCTGAGGTAATCCAAACAGACTTCACCTCAAACAAAACGGGCTCAGGATCAATCACATCAGCGTGGAAATACTGGAGAGTGACAAAGCAGTCAGGCAGAATGGGGTCAGATACAGAGTAAAGCTCCCTCTACACTGTCCCCCCATCAAACACTCCCAGGGACAGGGACAGCACGGGGTTAGATACAGAGTAAAGCTCCCTTTACACTGTCCCCCATCAAACACTCCCAGAACAGGGACAGTACGGGGTAGATACAGAGTAAAGCTCCCTCTACACTGTCCCCTCATCAAACACTCCCAGGACAGGGACAGCACGGGGTTAGATACAGAGTAAAGCTCCCTCTACACTGTCCCCCCATCAAACACTCCCAGGACAGGGACAGCACAGGGTTAGATACAGAGTAACGCTCCCTCTACACTGTCCCCCATCAAACACTCCCAGGACAGGGACAGCACAGGGTGAGATACAGAGTAACGCTCCCTCTACACTGTCCCCCATCAAACACTCCCAGGACAGGGACAGCACGGGGTTAGATACAGGTTATGTTTTTCTCTGTTACGAACCTAATGAGAGTGAGGAAGTGTATTGGTTTCGATCCAGCTGGCAGCCAAGGGAGTAGGATGGGTGGGGATGTGCTCTCACACGCAAACGGACTGGACAATATTGACTCCTTCATATACCTGACAGGAAACAGTGACTCGGAACTGAGTCAGAGTCAGCAACAATTACATCAGATGGACCGCTCAACAGGTTATCTCACTTCACTCATCCACTGCAAAGATTCCTTCACTCAGACAGTGTCGAGGGAGCTTTACTCTGTATTAAACCCCGTGCTGTCCCTGTCCTGGGAGTGTTTGATGGGGGGGACAGTGTAGAGGAAGCTTTACCCTGTATCTAACCCCGTGCTGTCCCTGTCCTGGGAGTGTTTGATGGGGGGACAGTGTAGAGGGAGCTTTACTCTGTATCTAACCCCGTGCTGTCCCTGCCCTGGGAGTGTTTGATGGGGGGACAGTGTAGAGGGAGCTTTACTCTGTATCTAACCCCGTGCTGTCCCTGTCCCTGGGGAGTGTTTGATGGGGGTTTAATTCCATTTCAGATGAGGAGCTGTACGTTTCTCCCCGGGGGTTAGTGACAATTTCTGATCCGATCTGTCCGGGGTCTGATAGCTGTGATCTATTGTTTCCAAGCGAGACGCTGTGGTTTTTTTGAATAATGCAACTGGCTTATTATTGAATTACACGCCTTGAGATGACAAGGCAGATTCCCTGTCGGAAATCCAACAGGTAAATTCATGTCACCAGTATCACTTTGAGTTTAAATGGAGACACGCCCTGTCTTAGATACACCAGGTTGCAGTCAGTAAAAACAGAGAACTTCCCTCTTTCACTCTGCCCTCTCCCCTTTTATCCTGGCTCTCTTTCTCCCTCCCTGTCTCCCCTCTCTTCTGATTTCCACTCCGTCTTGCCCTCTCCCGCTCCCACTTCTTTCTCTCCCCCTCTCTGGCCTTCACCACTTTGCAGTCTCTCCCTCTCTCTCTCTTTTACTTGCCCCACCTTCTTCCTCTCGTCTTCCTTGCCTGCTTTACTCTCTCTCTCATTTCATCTCTCACCTTTCCCTTTCCCTCTGCCTCTCTTCATATCACTCTCTCTATCACCCTTTCTCGTTCTCTCTGTCGCTCCTTCTCACCCCATCTTTCCCCC